CATACAGGAGAAAAACCCTATAAATGCATGGAGTGTGGAAAGAGCTTCAGCGGAAGCAATGCTTTCAATTGTCATACACGGATCCACACAGGAGAAAAACCCTATAAATGCCTAGATTGTGGGAGGGGCTTCAGACGTATTGGTGAGCTTATTTCCCATAAACGGATCCACACAGGAGAAAAACCTTATGAATGCATGGAGTGTGGAAAGAGCTTCAGTGTAAGGAGTTCTCTCACTTCTCATAAACGGATCCACACAGGAGAAAAACCCTATAAATGCCTAGAGTGTGGGAAGGGCTTCAAGCAAAGCTGTGCCCTTGCTTCCCATAAACGGGTCCACACAGGAGAAAAACCCTATACATGCATGGAGTGTGGAAAGAGCTATAAAAGCAGCAGTTACCTGATCCTCCATAAACGGGCCCACACGGGAGAGAAACCCTATACATGTCTGGAGTGTGGAAAGAGCTTCACTACCAAGGGTTACCTTTCTTGTCATGAAAGGATTCACACAGGAGAGAAACCCTATAAATGTCTAGAGTGTGGGAAGAGCTTCCACCGAAGCAGTGAACTTAATTTCCATAATAGGAGCCATACAGGAGAAAAACCTTATAAGTGCACAGAGTGTGGAAAGACCTTCGCTGCCAGTAGATCTTTAACATCCCATAAAAGGTTCCACACAGAAGAGAAACCCTATAAATGCCTGGAATGTGGGGAGATCTTCAGTTTTATAAGTCACCTTACTTCCCATAAGAGGATCCACAGCAGAGGGAAATAGAAATGTATGGAATGCAGAAGGAGCTTTTGTGAAAACAGAATGCTTCTCAAGAAAGAATCCATAGTGGGCAGAAAAATATCCTGTGTACAGCAATCAACTTATTTCCCTTACAGATAAACAGAAATATGAATTGACAAAAATATAGACCTTCAGGTAGTCAAGATAAATATTTGGGAATATACTTAACAGCAAGATGTGCAACAATTCAAGAAGGTAACTATAAAAGATTAACACAACAGATCAAATTGGACTTGGAGAACTGAAAAACCTTGCAACTGTCAATGAGAGGAAGATTACCAATCATAGAAATTAACATCTTGCCGAAGGTACTTTTTTTGTTCCAAATGATCCCTATATAATTAGAGAAAAAATACTTTGATGAGCTAAATACAATAATCTTGAAATACGTTATACAAAAAAAAACCAGCAAAAATAAGATGGAAAATGCTGTAAGAATCTAAAAACAACAGTGGGTTTGGGTTGCTGTATTGGGAGCTTTATTACCAGGCTTCCGTACTAACTTGGGTGAAAGAATGGATAAATCTAAAGACATAGAAGACTACTACTGTTGAGGGGACATGATCTGCAATTGGGATGGCATGCCTTTTTGTGGTATGAAAAGAATAAAATACATAGATATTTTCAAAGGCACTATGGAAGAAACACTCTACTCTTAGTATTGGAAAAAGTTAAGGCAAAAAACTATATGCAAATACCAGTTTGGTTTTCCACAATGGAAGCACTGATGCACCCAAATGTTGTAAATTTGGCAAAAATTGTAACAAAGACATTCTGAACGAGGAAGGGGAATTAAAAACAAAACAGGAACTAAAAAACAAGGTGTGGAGCTGGCATGGTTGCTACACCTGCAAATACAATTGAGATATGAGAAAGATGAAAAGACACATGGTCTCTATAAAGAGCCAAGAACACTTGGCCAGATACTATTTGCAATGGATGTAGAATTAATAAAGAAAATATATAGTTTTCTATTAAATCTTAAAATGGAAGATGAACAAGTGAGAGAAATAATGATAGTATGGCAAAAAGTTGAGGATAGAAATTATAAATTGACAATGGCAACTACCTATAAGGAAAGACAGTTCAATATTTAGGAATTCAGTTGACGGGAAGATGTGGAACAATCAAAGAAGTTAACTATTATAAACTTAACAAATTAAGACAGAAAAATGGGGTAATATGCAGTTGTCATTAACAGGAAGAATTGTGGCAATTAAGATTATATTATCCAAAGTGTTCTATTTGTATCAAAAAATTCCAATAAGCTTTGGAAAAAATATTTTGAAGATATCAATAAAATAGTATTGAAATATATATGGCAAGGGAAGAAAGCTAGAATTAACATAAAAATGTTACAGGATGTTAGAACTAGAGGAGGGTTTGGGTTACCTAATTGGAAAATATACGGTATTATCAGGCCACGGCATAAACCTGGATGAAAGAATGGATAACTTTGAGAAATCAAAGGTTGTTAACATTGGAGGGATATGATTTGCAAATGGGTTGGCATGCATTTTTGTGCTATGGGAGAAGCAAAATAAATGGGTTTTCTTTCTTTTTTGTAGATAAAGTTTTTTATTTTTAAACACAAACATACACATATAAAAACAAATCCTCTTCCATTTTATATACATTCAGTGTGTCAGTTGGTTACGTATCTTTTGTGCTATACTTTTGTAGTCATTTACTCACAATTTATATCAATCTTCACATTGTCAAACTAACATAGGTTTATATATTTATCAGTTATTAATCATCCATGACTAAACTATTTATTCCATCATTTTATACGAGATATTCCACATTTTATCTTAAAAATTATGTTATACTTTCATCCAATTATATACAGTATATTTGTATTATGTTTTATATCAATCTATTAGATTTCTATCATAACATTAGTCTATTATATTACCATGCCTTTTTATCCAACCATTGATAAAACAAATCCCATATCATATAACATTGCTTATCTTCTTGTTCTCTAATTTCAAATGTCAGTTTACTCATTTCAGCACAGTCCATAATTTTTTTGATAACTTTCTCCAGCATAGGTATTTTGTCATTTTTCCAGTTCTTCGCAAATACAATTCTAGCTGCTGTTAAGACATTTACAATCAAATATTTCAGTTCTTTATTATATATGTCTGGTATGACTCCCACTAAAAAGATCTCTGGTTTAAAATCTATATTCTGCTTTATCATTTTTTCCAACCATGTGTGGATTTTAGTCCAATATTTCTTTGCGTCTGAACATGTCCACCACATATGGTAATATGAACCAGGTATCTGATGACATTTCCAGCATTTATCCGATTTCTTCTTAAACATTCTCGCAAGTCTCATCGGGGGTAAGTGCCACCTGTAAAACATCTTATACAAATTTTCTTTATATGCAGTTGACACTGTCATTTTATAATTTTGAGACCACAATTTTTGCCATTTTTCCAAATCAATCCCATATCCAAAATTTTCCCCCCAAGCAATCATTGTTTCTTTAACTTGCTCCTCCTCCAATTTAAATTCTAATAAGTATCCATAAAGTTTTTTTAATTACCTTTTCATCAGTACTCATCAAAATTTTATTTAAGTCAGTCAACTTATCATAAATATCTTCTGCCTTGGAGTCGCTATCAAACCTAGATTGTATTTGCAAATAAGAAAACCAATTCATTTTTACACCTTGTTCTTGCAACGTTTGCATAGATTTAAGTTCACCCTTTTCATTCAATAACTCCCCATATCTAACCATTTGTTCCTTTTTATATATTATTGGATAAGAAAAAGCTTCAATAGTTGATATCCATGTTGGATTTTTTAAGTAATATTGTCTTTTAATCTTCTCTCAGCTCAAAAACAATGCCTCACGAATATAATGTTAAAATACCCGTTTAGTTCCCTTATACCAGAGAAAGGCATGCCATCCCAGCAACAAGTCGTGGCCTTCTAAAGTCAATAATCTACTGTTCCTTAGTGTTATCCATTCCTGTACCCACATCAAACTTGTTGCCTGGTAATACAGCTCCCAATTGGGCAAGGCAAACCATCCTCTTATTCTTACATCTTGTAACAGCTTTAATTTTATTCTTGCTTTTTTGCCCTGCCAAATATATTTCAACACAATTCTATTTAAATCTTCAAAAAATTCTTTCCCTAATCGAATAGGAATTGTCTGGAATAAATATAAAACTCTAGGCAAAATATTCATCTTAATTGTGGATATTCTCCCAATCAATGATAGTTGCAATTTTTCCCAAATAAATGGGTATTTTCAAAGGCATATGGTCAGGAATGCATTGTTACGAGCATGAGAAAAAACTAGAGAATAACATTATATGAAGATACCAGTCTGGTTGTTAACAATGGAAGCACTTATACACCCAAATGTTTGTAAAATGGAAACTATTGCCAGAGGGTGAGATCAAAACAAAACAAGAATTGAATGAACAAGGATTGGAAATGCATTGGTATTTGTATACGCAAATACAATCAAGATATGAAAAAGATATTAAAGCTGAAGGAGTTGACAGAATTGGACAAAGTATTAACAGGAACGAAAGATAAGCTGATTAAAAGATATTGTTATTAGGTGTTAAATTAGAAGAAGAGCGAGTTAAACAATAGCATGGGCAAAAAAAAATTTGATATATCATAGAACTAGATAAATGGCAGAAGCTATGGGATAGAAACTATAAATTAACAATATCAACAGCTTACAAAGAAAACTTGTATAAGATGTTTTATAGATGGTACTTTGCACCAGCAAAATTAGCTAAGATGTTTAAAGATAAATCAGCCAAATGCTGGAAGTGTCGTCAAACACCGGAAACATACTACCATATGTGGTGGTCTTGTATAGAAGCTAAAAGATATTGGACAAAAATACACACATGGTTGGAAGAAATGATAAAACAACACAGATTTGAAACCTGAAATATTTTTATTAGGAATGGTACCTGAAGGTTACAGTAAAGAAAAAACATATTTAATTATACATGTATTAACAGCAGCTAGAATTTTATTTGCTCAGAATTGGAAAAACGATATCAATAGAGGAAAAAGTAATTGAGAAAATATTTGAATGTGCAGAAATGAATAAGTTAACATTGGTAATCAAAAAAAAAAAGAAATCGGATATTATATGGTATGGGATTTATTTTATCAATGGTTAGAAAATAAAATAAATTAAAATGGATTAGATGTGATTATTGTTATATTGGTAAGAAAAGTATTAACTATAATTGTAAGCACAAGAAATATGTACCTAGTCAACACATGGTTGAACTGGAATGTTATTGTATATTAAAATAAAAAACTTTTTGGAAAAAAAATATATATATTGACAATGCCAACTACCTATAAGGAAAACCTGTATAAAATGTTTTATAGGTAGCATTTGCCACTGGCAATGCTGGCAAAGATGTTTAAAACATGTCCGCCAAATGTTGGAAATATAACCAGATAAAAGGCTGTTATTACCATATGTGGTAGACATGCTCAAAGGGAAAAAATGGATGAAAATACACACATAGTTGAAGAAAACAACATATAGATTTAAAGCCAGAAATATTTTTGTTAGGTATAATACCAGAAAAACATGACAAAGGGAACATATATTTAATACTACATGTCTTGACAGCAGCGAGAATTGTATCTGCACAACA